GGTTATACTGTGGTTAAACAACTGAAGATTCAAATTCCTTCGACCCCTTCGACGGCTTCGACGGCTTCGACTGGTCTTGTAGGAGGTAGCACGTGGTAGCACGCTTGCAGGTTTCGTACTTTTGCTCCTTCCTCGCGAAAACAACCATGGAAGCGAGTTCGATCCAACGTAGAACGTCCAGGATTCCCGTAAGGAAGTTCACGTTGAAACCAAAGGAAATTTCGACCGGTGAAACCTCCCGTATACCCAGGGCTTGTTTTCGAACCTCCTCCAGCGAGCTGAAAATAGGTTCGTATAACTTGCGTTTTTCTTCCTTTTAACCTGCATGCGCGCGAGACGCGAAAGACCGCCGGCCGGTTACAACCGGTCGCCTCGGCGTTAAGAATTTCTGCGTTTGCTAATTTTCCTTTGATTACGCAAATGTAGGGTTTCCTTCAGTTTTTCCCCCCTCGAAATTGTTGCCATGTTTTCAACGACCTTGACCTAACAAAGGCTGCGGTCAAGCTGTCGCTTCGAATGTTACGAAGCATTCGTCTTCTCTTTTCTTTCAGTAAAAACCAAGGACCCGGACCGGACCGAAACCGAAACCGAAAACCGTACCGTAACCGGCATTTTTGTCGGACCGGAACCGTAAACCGTACCGAAATGTTATAAAGCTTACAGGACCGGAATCGAAACCGATACCGTTAAATTATTTTCGGTTCACGGTTTTTTTTTTGGTTCTTTAGACGCGGGTTTTCCGAAAGATAGGTAGAGGGGATACGCAGTACTACAGATTAATAGACAGATAGCCAATGGTCCCTCAAAAGTCGAGACCAGTATCCCTGCTTTGATTTACCGACAGACTTTGCCCCTAGGATTGAGTTCGGGCTAAATATATCCGATTTTATCAACAAATTTTGTCTCTTGTTCGAGTCCGGACTAAATATATTCGATTTTATTTGGCATTTTATTTGCCCTTAAGGGTAAAATCTGTGTATGAATCATTATGATAGAGTAAAAGTGCGATAGACAACGAGTGTGCCTTACTCGAAGCTATAACGTTGATTCACGCGATTATTTATCGAGATGGTGTGGAGTGTGGCAATAGGAAGGAAGCCAAGTTATCATATAAGTTAAAATAAAAAGTAAAAGCATAGTAGTGTGTAATTGTAATGTAAATGTAAAATAAAAACTTTTCTATCAAAAATTAAGATTTATAACTTATAATATAAATACATATCCACACACGCAGTATGCATATATAAATAATTTCATTCAATAAAAATTTCAATAAGAAAGTTTTAATGAACCGGAACCGGAACCGAAAAAAACGGCAATTTGTACAATACCGGTACTTTCCTTAGCTAGAAAACCGAAACCGAAACCGAAACCTTTATTAAATATTTTAATAGACCGAAACCGGAACCGAACCGATATTTTCGTCCGGTCCGGGTCTCTGGTAAAAACAGAAAGAGAGGAGAAACGCTTCGAAGCGTTTGCAGCGGCAGCTTGACCGCAGCCTACGACATGCATATGAGTGAACTATTAGTTAACTTACCAAAACGTTGGAACTACCGGCCATTAACCTGTGACTTGTGTACGTATGTTTATTAATTTGAATGACCTAGGCTGCGGTCAAGCTGTCGCTTCAAATGTTACGGAGTATTCTTCTCTTTTCTTTTAGTAAAGATAGAAAGAGAAGAGAAACGCTTCGAAACGTTTGCAGCGGCAGCTTGACCATGGCCCTAGTCAGGTATAAAGCTTTTTCCTTCTAAAATTCATATCTTGTTGCGTTTTGTAACGTACAATCAAAATCCAGTACATTATTCTGTTAAGTATTTCTGTTAGTGTAGAAGTATGTAAGACACTACCAAGATTCAAGGTTATGTATCACTCGCAATCTCGAACGTTCTTACTTTGTTTATCTTAGTAATATCCATACCCATATCTTGGTATCTTTATATAACGCGGGTCTACATATATATATATGTCTATGATTAAGACTATACTTAAGATGATCTTAAATATAAGAACGGACCATGAATATCGGCCATAGTTACAATAAAGATTATGATTTTCTTCTTACTTTCAATGTAGAGGTCCTGTATAGGTACAAGATACACTGAATTAGTTTTTCGAAGCAAGATATAGATACAGCTACTATCTGTACCTGTATCTTTCTCCTGAAAAATAATTCGGTGCATCTTGTATCTATAGGCCTGTTCTTTATTACTGCACTACTGAACTAGTGCAGTAAGTTAAAATGAAACAAATAGATTACCTCTCATTCCAACTCATTGCACCAGTGTGCACTAGTTCAGGAGTGCAGCAATAAAAAACAGACCCTATGGCTGCGATCGAGCTGTTGCTTCAAATGTTTCGAAGCATTCTTCTTCTTCTTTCTTTCAGTAAAGACGGAAGAAGAGAAATGCTTCGAAGCGTTTATAGCGGCAGCTTGACCGCAACCTATATAGGACCATCTACATTGGAAGTAAGAAAACCATAATTTTTATCTTTCGGTGCACCTACTGAAGTACAGGCATAATGTTTTTAAATATTTATAGCACTGGTTGAACTGTGCTCTAATTCGCCGAGAGTAAGTTGTAAACGTAGATAGCGCACGAGCTTTGACGTATGTTGTATTTACTTCCAATTACATACGACATTACATTTACACCAAAGCTTGTGCGCTATCTACGTTTATGACTTACGTCTTGCTGTAAGCTGTTGCAGCCTTTTGTGCTCTGACTCTAAATCAGAGCTAAAGTAGAAGTAAGAAATGGAAGTGATTCATTTCTTTATTCCTACTCTTACGTTTTGCGTCAGGCTTACACCATCTATTGAAGGAAAGTAACTTGTAAGAAAGAAGTAAAGATACCAGACTTTGGTAATATGTACCTTAGTTTCATTAGTTTAGTTTTTTTGTTATTTTGTGTGTTGTAGCTGCTGATAAGGAAACTGATAGAGTACGTCGCATCGGCAGAATAAAAGAAAATAAATATTCTAAAAGCGGTAGTGTCAGTGGCGTTAGCCAAATAGCCTGGGAACCTAGAGAGCGAACTAGGAAGCCCTCCATTTGCTTACATGTTAAGGTGAATAACAATCCGCAAACATCTGTAAAACAAATGACAAAGCCGGGTCATATCAACACTCGAGCAACTAGGTATGGCAAATGAGTTAATTTATTGTTGTATATTTATAAAATGGTTATATTTATTCGTTTTTGCATTTATAATAAATAACGATGCATTTATAACTATTGTAATGGTCCAGTAAACGCCACGTGCGCGCTGTCTCTGAGGTAATGTCACCACTTAGGGTCACACGTAGTACGAGAGCCAGCTCTGTTGATCCAAAACCCCTACGTTCTTTAGCCAAAAAGCAAATTCCATTGAAGGATCGTGTGCCCTATGTACAATTGGATACGATAAATGAAATTGACGAAATAAATAAAATCCCAAGTATAGGTAATTTCTTAAAGTTGTTATCTATTATCAAGTGGCTCTATTTGTATTTCAAGTATAGTCATATGAATATATAACTTCATGCATGAATATATAACTTAATGATATAATCAAAAAGATTTTCTGACACTATTGAGATTTATAACAAATCTATTTTGTTAAATACACACAGGAAACTCTGATTCTTTTCCAGATAAAGCATCACCTGAAGTCCTAAAATCTTCTAAAGAAAATATATCTGAAAATTTATTAGATATTTCTACTGAAGAGCAAAAGAGTGACAAGGAAAATGAAATACTGAACATTAATAACGACGTTCAGTCAAACATTAGTCATTCATTCTTTTTTGATTTATCATTTATAAAAAATAGATCCCCTGATCTAATTTTATTTTCACCGTATAAAAGTGAAGATTTTATTTTCTTCTCACCGAATTGAAGAAACGGGCTAAACATATTCAGTTATCTGTTGTAGAGGATAATACTTGTGAAGATATGTCTCAGATTAATGAGAAAGAAAAAAAGAAGAAGAAGAAACGAGAAGATGCTTGGAATTTCTGCTACCACGGGTGATCTGTCTGATAATCATGATATACTGTCAATTCGTTTGTTTGAATTAGACTTACCAAATGACCCCAAGGATCAAGAAGATAGATCACAAATTGTGCCATCAGCAGCATTCTATGAGCAACCAAGAGAACGTATAGAAGATACGAAGCAGTCTAGCATGAGTGGAATAAAACTTTTCCTACTGATGTTGATTGGCGCGCTCGTAATAATAGCCTGTGTTGTCATTGCCATTGTGCTATATCAGAAGCATCAAGAGAAAAGCAGAAAACGATTTTACTAAGTCAGGGTTTAGATAGGCTGTGTGTATGTGTGTGCGGGGGTTTTAAGCGTTGCAGCTTACCGATTTCTCTTTTATCCAAGATTTCTTGTATACACACAAGATGTAAATCATGAAATGCTCATAAGACTGTCTTTGATTTCTGTTCACAAATTTGATGCAAATCTTTGTTTTTTGTATAAAAATAAGTCTTCGGGGTAAAGGAGGAGTGCGAGTGCGTGTGCGTATGCATGAGCAATTGTACATTGATTGGGCTCAATGTACATTTATTTGAGTTGATTATAGTCAGTAAAAATACATATTTATTGCAGTTTACCAAAGTTATTCCTTCTTGAAATGCCACATGGAATTTAACGAAATAAGTTTTTATATACTTGACTCATAACAAATACATAAGATGGGAAGATATAATGAATGTATTGTGACGTGTATATTGTTAACTGTACTTTAGAAGGGTCTTGGAAAAACTCGTATATTGTATGTATTAATTTCAAGCCAAATGTTCATATATACAAGATCTTTGTGGTAATATATACATATATACTTTTTCCAGAACCTTTTTGTATATATAAGTTGGAAATTAATTCTAAACTCCAGTGATTTTAAATACTTCAGGCAATAATACATCACCGATAAAAGAGATATTTGTTTAAGGAGATAAAATATAGAAATTTTTAATTTTTATTTATGTAATTTTCTTTTGCGCATTAGGTAATTATTTTCATATGCAGATACAGAAAAAACTTTAGATTTTATATTTGTACATAAAGAAAAGTAATGTATTCGAAGCTCCCATATTGCATAAAGTTTGTGATGGAGTTTATTTGTAGATTATAAATGCAACTCTAAACAGGCTATCGGCCATACAAATTATCCAATTAGAACTGATATCGAACATCACATGAAAGTATACGCAATGTGGGGGGTTCTACTGTATTTCAATATAAAATAACTATAAAATAACATAATAAAACTCTGTAATGTAATCATTTTATATGGAAACTAAGAAAAAAGGGAACCAAACCGTTTAATAAACAATTGTCTTGTTATCAAGATGATGTTATCATTCGAAACAATAATGTATCATGCAGTAGAAGTAAAGTTTCCTGGAAAGAAGAAATATGTTCAGTTTATTCAATCACCTATTTTAGAAGATAATATTCGTGAAGATATATATCAGATAAATGAGAAAGAAAAGAAAAAGAAGAAGAAACGAGAAACACCAAAGGAAACTATTACCAAAAAATCTGTATCCAATGATACAGTATAGAATTAAAGATTCCTAAGAAAAAAGAACGTGTTAAGCTTATCCTAACAGCAAAAAGTCGACTTAAAGTCGACTATGATTTGGCGAAAAAGTAAGCGACCTACTCCCACCATATGAGTTGCAAGACCTGTATGTAAGACCGTGGTCGCGACCAATGAACGCGCGCTCAGCCGTCGGAGCCGTCAGCTGAGTTTTGTGCCTATTTCCTAACCTTAAACGCGTGACTTCAATAGCATTGGATGGTCGAGAAGAATCTCCGTTGCGGTCGTTTAGGTTTAAGCGGGAAGATCACGCCGAGAGAATTTGATTCCGCTCGAAATGGCCGATTCGGACGAGGAGAATTACGCGACGTTCGGCGTTCCTCTCGAGCCCTTGGACGAAGGTAAACGGAGCAAGTTACCCGAGTGCCCGAAGCCTAATCTACAATGTGCTCTCCGCGTCTGAAAACATTGTATTTTGTAGCCAATAGATACGTTTAAAAAGTGTGTGCAAGTCGATGCATCGTACAATCGTACGTTGTCGACAAATTTGTCAAGCGTTTTGATTTGCTCGTCTAAAGTAGAACGTTCCTAGACGCAAAGAGCATATTGTGGATTAAGCTTGAGAGTGTATTGCGCTACAAATATCCCCCGCGATGCGTTACATCGAAATGTTTTCGTCCCGCAGAGAACATCCCGCGGAAGAAGCCCGTCACGATCGAGGATCAGTACGCTTACGACGCCCAAGGTAGACGCAGGTTCCACGGGGCGTTTACAGGCGGCTTCTCAGCAGGATATTTCAACACCGTGGGCACACGCGATGGCTGGAGGCCGCAGCAGTTCAAGTCCTCCAGGAGCAGCAAGGCGGACAACGTCGTTCAGCGACCGGAGGACTTCATGGACGAGGAGGACACGAGTCTCTTCGGGATTGCCCCAAAAGGTATTCGAGCTACCAGCGATTACGCTGATCACGGGCAGAGGGGGAAGAAGAGAGAGAGGATAAGTCAGGAGGGGCCTATCCCTGGTACTCCCATCTTAAAGGAGCTGCTGAAACCCGTCAAGTTAGTATGCGAAAATTAAGAAAGTTATTTAGCCTCTACTTTTAAATTGGTTGACGATTTGCTTTTGTCCGAGAAAGAATCGAACAGAGCGGTGTGTTAATTATTTGCCAATGTGCTCGATTTGTACTTCATTTAGATTTAATGCTACGTGAATTTCTATATTACTTGTAATTGTAGGGAAACAGTGGGTATCGTCCTGCTCAAGAAAATGGGCTGGAAGCCTGGCCAAGGCGTGGGCTCCAGACTGACGAAGAAAGAGAAGCAGCAGATAAAGTTGCGTAATGAAAAATTAAAACTGGCGCGGGATAATTGCGAAATGGTAGGGAGTAATTCCGAGGATTCCGACGACGATTCTACCAATATTACTTTCGCACCCGACGACTACGAGCCATTCCGGTGCAAGCCGAAGGACAATTATTTTGGCATCGGCTACTCCGGTCTGGACAGGCGGAAAGTTCTTTCCGGACACATCAATCTTTTCGATGCCCCGGCGTTTTGCGTTCAGGATAAAAACAAAAAACTGTCGATTCACGGACAGGCGTTCGGAGTTGGCGCTTTCGAGGCCGACGACGAGGACATATACGAGAGAGAAGACATGTCGCGTTACGACTTCGCTCTGGGCCCCGAACATAAGACGAAGACGAGGTGGTCCCAGGATGAGCCGAGTAGCTCGCAAAGCGATTGTCTCGAGGGTTTTGTCCACACTAAGGAGAAACTAGCGAGCAAAAAAGTCTTCAAACCTCCGGAATTGCCGAAAGATTTTGCACCGGTGCATGCTGTTAGGAAAAGTAGATTTTATCCGCCGATTGCAGCCCCAGTAGAAAATAATAAGCGCAAGGAGCCATTGAACGCTGTAGATAGAGCGCGTATTTTAGAGGACCCCGATGAACGCTCGAAGAGGCTACAGGCGCCGTCGAATGCATCCGTGGCTTCTAATATTATTTCGAAAACCTTGAATTTACATGGTAAACAACAAACGGAGGAGAGAAGAAAATTGGAGAGTCAGCAGAAGACGACAGGCAACTCCTGGCTGGATAAATTAAACGCGCAAAGCTTTACCAGAGGCGGCTTCATCGGTACCGGACAGGACGATGGTTTAAGGAAGCTGGAAGATTATGTACAGTCCTTATCGACACTTGCGCAATCAAGTGTGGAAAAATCGACGGAAAATGACTCTTCGGATAAGAGTGAAACAAGAAAATTGTTCTTGTCCGATCCGGATAAACAGAGACGATTCGAGCAGTATCTCGTCTTGTCGAAGAACAATGAGAGGGACAAGTTTGAAAGTATTCAGCCACTCTCCATGACCGATTGGGAGAGAGAGCAAGAACGCGAGGAGTTCGAGCAGGCGACAAAACTGGAGCAGTCGAATAATTACGTGGCAGACAAGTTTGTACATAGCACTGATGACACGACGGACAGACCGGATCCGGAAAAGGATGTTAAAGAAGCGGTGAGATTGAAAATGTTCGGCAAACTTACGCGACAGCGAAGCGAATGGAAACCGGCGAGTATCATTTGCAAGAGATTCAATATTCCCGAACCAAAAGTCGGCTGTGCGCCGACCGTAACGGACCGGAAATCGGCGAGGTTCTCCGTTTTTGATTCCTTGGATTGGTGCGGTTCATCGAAATTCACTAAAGCTACGGATACAGTTAAGGCAGAGGTGGAAGAAGTTGCCCGACCGTCGAGAAAAACGGAACAAGATATAATCGAAACGATTCCCAACACCGGTTCCAATAATGTTCCATCTAACATCTACCAGTCTTCAGAGCCCATCTCTGAGAAATTAAAAATCTTCGAAGCTTCCTACGAGAAAGTTTTCGGCAAAGGTATTAAAAGTATTCCTTCCGCAACGTCGGACGATATCAAACAACACGTGAGAGACAATTTACAGAATCAAACAGTTCAGAGAGTAGAAGAGGAAAAAGAAGTAGCTTCCGAGCCGGTATCTACGCTGAAAGATCAATCGGAAGAAAAGAAGGATCTATTCAAGGCGATTTTCCTCAGCAGCAGCGAGGATTCCGATAGCGAGACGGAGGATAATGTTGACAGTGAGGCTGTCAAGTCGGTTTTGATCGGGAAAGACCCAAAGGAGATAAATGTGCAACGCAACACGTCGCCACCGCGAGGTATCTTCGCGAAACTAGATCTCGACAGCTTGGTGACGCAACCGAAAAGCGTTAACGACGAAAGTACAAGTTCTAAAATCTCGGAAGCCAATTTGCCAGTCACTAGTGGATCACCGAACGATCCCACGGATCGTAACGATGTGACTGAGGACGCAGAAATTGCAGCGCTGCCAGATATGTATGGTCCGGTTTTGCCGCAGAGATTGTTGAAACAGGACAGCACTGCAACGGCGACGGAAGCTGATAACGTCAACCAAATGCTGAAACCAGTATTTCGGAGCGTCGTGGTGCCGAAAACCACGGAGGACTCGAAACTCGGCGGAAAATGGGTGGAACGAGACAAGGTAAAAAAATCGAAGAAGAAACACAAGCGTAAGGAGCATAAAAGCCCCAAACACAAACACAAAAGGAAGTCTAAGAAAGAAATACGTTCGAAACGTTGATTTCTGCCGATTTTATCTCTCGGCGATTCAAGTGATATAAATGATAACTTTGGGGTAGATATGATATCGCCAGCAATTCAAAACGATGATGAGTATTTTACACTGGCCAGTGTAGGTCGTTTTTGTAAAATACTCATCATAAATGATAACATTGATAAGTTTATAGTTGTATACATATGTATAATGAAAATATCTATCAAGTACATCAGACAGTTGTATATAAGAAAACGTTCGACATGTTTCATGCCCAACTAAAACTGTTCCATCTGTTGTTTTATTAATTAATATTTATGCGCTTACTTAGCAATGCGTATATGTACATCTGTAACATAGACTGAAAATATATAACTCTTGCAATCATATACAAGGTAGAGAGACACCTACAATGACTCCGAAATACAGCCAGTAAAACTTTATACATTATATTTTCCAAAGATTGTACATTGTACAAGGGATATTTATATTTTACACACACTCATGATCATGCACGAGCCATCTTTGATTTGTGAAAAATTTTTGTAAAATGGATGCATTGAACGAGGACTACTTGTTCTGGATATCAAGACGTTACACATTGTCGTGGTTTAAGGATTCAAGTAAATCGATTGGACGCTATTGACATACAAGAATACACGTGTATTACTTTTTCTATTAACGAAATCATTCCGATATGTAATACCTAAATACGGGTTTGAGCAGTCCGCCTTTTTATTACAATGTCGTCGAATGTCACTCTTCGTTAAATCTCTTTTCGAGATTGCACATAATAACATCATTAACCCGATGTCATGGAGTTCCTTGAAGCAGGCCTGCTGGAATTGCCGCTTCCATTCTTTTTCTCCACGCTGGAAAGGTATTGTATAACATTTATCAAATATTGCTACATTTTTAACGATAAGTTATCTTACACACTTTTGCTGTATATTAAATAATTTAATTTGGATTTTTTTGCGCACCTGCTGCTCCTTGAACCTCTTTTGAACATGGCTGATAATTTCTTCTTTAGATTCTTCTTTTCCATTTTGAGATTTTCGTTGATGCTGGTTTCAGAACCAGATGTCTGTCAAGTATTCGATCATTTTAATAAATAACGTTCTGCTTGGATAAAAATAATTTGGAATATTTAAATATCTTCTTGCCTGAAGCGAGTAGTCAGTCATATTCGGGTCATCGACGCTCGACGATTTAGTTAACTTGTGTGTTAACTTTCGTATTATTCCTTTGCCATATTTCTTGTCCCGGTCTAACATTTCGCTCTTTGTCGACCCTCCGGAAAGGCGGCTAAGTATAACAATTATCAAGTATAAAATATTCCGTGTATGCTCTCAAAAATATTAATTTAATGTTACGATTATCGTTTCCATACCTGTCTACGCTGGAATCTCTTTGTCGACTAGTTCCGCGAGACTCAACTTCCGATCCCTCCAATGATTGCATACTCGACAAGTTGCTGTCCGTGCCCCAAATAGTTGAAGACTACATTTCATGGAAAAATTAACAATAATAAAAATGCAAAGAAATTACAATTCTAAAATAAACTATACATGGTCCTATATTTCAAATTGTGATAGATTCTCAATGGAAGTTTGTTTAAATGTAAAAGTGCCTTTTGTTATCTTTTTGGGATCGAAGTCCACTCAAAGTAATGATAAAATATACACAGAGAACTAGAGAAGTACAGATTATAGATGTGCCAAGCTCTCACAAGAAATTATTGAACTTCATAAAAAGATCGTCTGTATATGAAGCGTGTTATACTTACATCCTGATGAGGAGACGTTTGTTCCAAAGAGAGACTCTTTCTCTTCAAACGTGGTTTGCCGCGATTCAACACCACTCCTTTCCCTGGATCGCTTTCTACTGACGTCGCTCTAGAACGATGACGTGCCATTTTTACGTACGTTCAATAGTCTGGCGACACATAAGACGAGTTATCGCTAAAGCTCACCTCTTCCCCAGTTTCTTCAACCGCACTGCATTCGCTTCATCTGCCGTTTTCTTCGAGTCCTTGAGCTCTTTCGCCACGTCCATTAATTTTTTAATAGTGTACTCTAATTTTTCTGTTCTCTCGCCGAGTATTGGAGTTACGGCTGCAAACGCGATCACATGGTTTGAAATAATACTCTAAGTTATTTATATGTGGTAAAGATCAATCAAGTTTTTATCGTAGAATACCTTTTATGTCGCTCTTTGTTTCCAGCATTGGCGACGACTCCCTAGATTTTGGTCCCTACAAACATTTGTACGTTTTAAAAGCTTTCGTATAGTTTTGGATAACAATAATCGTTAATACTAATGTTGATAGCCTGTACCTTCAATCGCCTCGGCGGAGTTGGCGTATATACATCGGGCGTTCCGTTCTCCGTTACGGTATTCAATTCAGGAAACAGTTGTAACAGATCCTGTACTTGTTGCATAAGGATGTTAATGTTTCGCAGCTCAGTTTGCTCCAATTTACATTTACTAAATATAACTTCTTTGAGTTCCTGCCTCTCCTTCTCGTGCCGCTCTTTTTCACGTCTCATCTTCTCGTTGCTCGTTCTTAATTTCGCGTGTGCGTCTCGCAGCTCGAGTAGGTCGCATTGTAACTAAAATTTTAAGAAAGAGAGTTTCCAGGTTTTCACCGACCGTATTTCCAAAGCATATTCGTACACTGAGGGAACTTTCATCGGATAAACCAATTAAATAGTGTTTCCGATGGTTAATTTTTCCGATTAGATTATGGATACATCCGATGAAATTTGATTGAAAAACCGATCATATCTTTCACCGGCTATACAATATATAATCGAACATTTTTCTCAGTGTACAAATGATCCGACATGTGTATTTTTAATTACCTCTGATAATTTTTTCTTATTTTCATCCTTCTCTTCGTCATACACTTTCTTTAACTGATCTTGTCTCCTTTTATTTTCAAGCCGCTCTTTGCTGCGTTCTCTTTCTATCTGCAAACATAGCGCTCGTGGCGTTAAAGCAAACACTCTGGATTGGCAATGTCATCTTGCTTATATGTTAAATGATTTATCAGTACCTCGAACAGCGTCTGTCGCAAATCTCGCGCTAACGTTGCCGTTTCTTGCAGTAATCTTTGATGTTCTTCTCTTTCTTTCTGCCAAGCCAGTTCCATACGCACTTTTAGTCCTGGAATCTTCGAGCGTCCGCTGGTGAGCAATCGCTCCTCTTCCAACTGCAATTACAACGAACAAATAATGATATAAACGTATTTGAAAATTTATGATTTTCACCTAGCAAATCTAATTTATAATTACCTCGTTAATTCGGGACTGCAGTTCGGAGACTTTGACGTGACTTGCTGATTTTTCCGAAACCAATTCAGCTTTCAGCCTAGAAGCTTCCAGTCTTGTCTCAGAAAGCTCGTCTTCCATACAACTGATTTGTTTTTCTAGCACTAACACATTGGCTTTTGATGATTCTTCATCCTAGAATCAGAGAAAAATATATCTTTCGTACTAAAATTAATAATAAAGAGAAGATAAATCAGTATGATTATACAATCAGTAATAAAAGTAAAATGTTAAAAAGTCTTTTCAAGAATGTCGGTATTACAATATCGAAGCACTTAAAATTATATTATTAACTACTCACTTCATCTGATTTTCCCGAAGATGCATTAGAAAGTCTACCTTGTCTCGTGGACTTTAGCTCGCCTATAGTTTTTTGCGCGCCTTCCAACATATGCTTGTAAGTGTCACGTTCGCGCTTGTATCGCGATAATTGATTCTGAATTGCCTGAATCTCGTCGTTGATCGCTGTAATTCTGTGCTCGTAGCGCATCTTACACTGCGCCAGATCTGCTTTCTTAGCCTTTTCTGTATTTGCCAAGGCATTCTTTAATTTTCGGATTTCCGACTCCAGCGCTGTAGTATCGGGTGTCAACGCTTGATGAATCTTGGAAACCGCCTGATAATCTTTCAGTTTTGTAGACAAGTCGTCGTTCTAGAAATTGAAATAATTCAAATTATATGTTTTTACATGAGAATTAGAGAGTTAAACAAATTGAAAATTATTACAAAATTATTCGAAATGGTGTAAAAATGGATAACAATATGCTTTGCAGGTTCTATTTACCACTTTTCTAACATCTTCCAATCGTTCTAGTAAAGTGGCATTTTCTTTCTTCAACGTATTAATTTCATCATTCAAGTCCTCTACGATAACTTTGTTCGGCAATTGGCTGTCACGAATTTGGCCCTGGAATCATAAATTAAGGTAAGATTGTTCAAACAAATGCTTTTAATAATAACTAATAATAATCACACATGCACCTCAAGAGCAGATTTCTCTAATCGCCACTCGTTTTCTCTTGCTCTCGCTGAACTACGTAGCTCTTCAAGTTCGGTTTGTATATTTTTCAAATCCTTCTTATGTTCCGAGCATTTGCTATAATAAAACGTAAAATTAAATGAAGAAGGTTACATGAGGCATTTAATATTGCTGGCAGTGAATTCTTACTCCTCATATCGTTAGTGTCGAATTGCTGTTTACCTATTCAGAGATTCATTCTCCCTTTCAAGTTGCAGTTTTGAATTCGTAAGCTCTTGATAGTTTTTGGTAAGTGTCTCCTGCTCGTGCTGATGTTTCTTTATCTCATTTTCGAGATCTGAAAATTTTGTCACGTTAACTCCACAATACGTTTGAGAAGTAAAACGATCACATTTAAAAATCGGTAATGTCTTTTGATACCGTACTCAATATTTTTTCATTGTAAGTTTCTTTCATCTCGTTCATGCGTTTTGTGTTTTGTCCAGCTTTTTCCAAGGAAGTTATCTTCTTCTTGAGTGCCGCCACTTCGGCTTCCTTCGTTTCTCTCTCACTGCTAAGTTGTGATGTCAATTTTTCTTTCTCCCGTTTAAACTCCGCAAGCTCTGCATTTAGATCCGTGATCTTCGTAGATGTGGTAGATTTTGTATTTTCTAATTCCTTCTTCAAACGTTTTACCTCAGAATCGAGCTTGGCCTTTGTCTGTTCAACCTGTTTTCATCGAAAGAAATAATACGAGTATTGCAAGAATAAATTAGTAATTTGCAGCTATAAGTAATATTAGGTGCTAAATTAAAAAGCATATTTACAGATGTTATTGATTGCGACATTTTTGATTCTCTTTCAGTGTACGATGACAAATCATCCTGTAGTCTTTTACATTTTTCTTGTTCTTGCGAGAGTTTTGCTTTTATTTCACTTATCGTTACCTCCATACTTGCCGTATCTTTTTCCGACGATTTAGCTGTTTCTGTAATTTAACAAAAGTCATACTTATCGATAGTTGGCATAATATTTATGAGATATAACACATATTTTGGATGATACAATTTGGAAATGTAATTTAGTTACTTCAAAA